CGATATCTAGGACTCCATTAGAGCCCTACATTACTTGAGCGATACGTATACTTGTGTTGGTAAGTGTGACTTTACAATTATTGAATATTTTATACATCCATCTTTATCGAATCTATAATTGTTATTAAGTTTTGGTACAGTTGCTGATGAATTAAATCTTTTAGCAGCAGTATTAAATACTTATATTTTTAAGCATATATAAAGTCGTGGTCAGCAGTTCAATGAGGGTGGTCATTCGGTAGTGTTCTCAGAGAGCATCTGGAAGGTTACCAAAGGTGTATTAGTACTGGCTCGGGGTAAGAAAACTGACACTATATATGACTACAGGTTTACTCGGGCGTGGACACATGAGTCAGAGGTGCGTTATGGGGAAACAAAAGAATGTCAGTTTCCTGAAAAGTGGCAGAGCGTCAAAAGAAGGAAAACCGGATCTTGTGCAGACAAATGATGGAGAACCACAGAGTTGTGAAGAAATCTTGCAATATGAAAATTCGAGCAAGTGGGAGCTGACTAAGAATGCTGGATATGAAGGAGAATACAAATTTCTTGCCAGAGAATCAGACTTGGAAGCTGACAGAACTTCCGTCAGGGAAGAAAACATCACACAACAAGTGAGTATACCGGGTGAAGATTGCGCTTGATGGCAGTAAGAGGTACATTGCTGGACTTGTTGAAAAAGACTTTCAACAGAGGTAGGATATTGCTCTTGCAGTGGGAGTTGCCGGAAAGAGCTTGGAGATACAAGACTATGTTGACGGTGATATGTCAACTAAGGGTGTTACTCTTGAAAAGCTGAAGTTGTGCTCGACTTCAGCTGGTCGTCTAGCTTGAACACAAGGGTTTTGAGTTGCAAAGGTGGAGGATATCACATTTGAATAAAAGGGCGACGCCGGCAGTAGGTGATGCAGTCAGTGTCCCAGTTTTCAAGTGGGCGAATTGTTGCGTTTAGTGGAGCATGTTCCAATGCTCAATTAGCAAATTAATTAAATTGCTTCTTAATCAGATCCCTTCCCCAATTTAATCTCCCGCCTGCAGCAAAAGGAGAATCCCTCCATGTGCTTTGTCGCGAAACCGCGTTCCGCGTTCCGCGTTCCGCGTCCCGCATAAACCTTTCTCCACGTACAACAATTTATTCCTTAAATGGGCATTACTAGCTTATTATAAATAAGCTAATTGCAAAGCCCATGAGATAATCTCTCCCTTCGGTTGAAGTAACAACTGAAGCAACAAGGAAGTAAAACGGATTTGCTTTTCTTTTGTCTTGGATGTCTTTTTCACATCTTTTTCTCATGTGGCCCAAGAGAGAGAGAGGAAGGGAGAGAGAGAGAGAGGTGAAGAGAGAGAGTCATTCCTTGTAATTGTCGAGGTGGTCAACGGGTGTAATCCTCAAACTAATAAAATCCTCAGCAGCTCCGTGAACGTAGACAATTTGTCAAACCATGTAAACATGTGTGTTTCCTGCTTTGCGAATTTTCTCGATCTGATTTTTCATTTTATTGTCGTCGTTTTTTCACAACAAAGTCTGCTTATCGAAGTGGTTGATCTAATCATTCTCACATTTCTCAAAATAATAAGCTAGTCTATCTATACAAAGGTAATAATTTGGAGAAGTCATCATGACCAATAATGACACTCTTTAATCACTCATAAAAGACTCCGACCAACAACGAGGACTCGATCCATTCACCCATATATCAGGAATGGTCGTCGTACCGGGAACATCTGATGTTAGCTAGCAATACGTAGCATTGACATTACAATCTCTCCATCAAGATACCCTAGGAAAGCGTTGTGTAAATACAAATATGTGTTACGCTGATTATTTGAGTTTTTCTCTCTCATATATAAAAGTAGTAAGAAAGGGAGAAAAGGGAGGCACATACTCCTTCCTCTCAAAAGACGCTATCTTTGGCTTCACATCCCTTTTTACTCTTAAAATTTGGTAACTCAAGGAACCTCTGAAGAGCCACCTCTTTCCAACTTACCGAAGATCAGACATTAATGTACTTCCTAAGATCCCTTCAAAAGAATCTCGTTCATTCCCATATCTCTCTGTGATACAAAGTCTTTTACTAGATTGTATGTACTCACGAACGATATGCGATCTTACGTCCTAAAAAGGATTCAGCAGTGGTTAGACTTGGTGCCAACTTCTTCTTGCATGAGATAAAAATTATTATAAAGTCTTTTACTAGATTGTATGTACTCACAAACGATATGCGATCTTACGTCCTAAAAAGGAGTCAGCAGTGGTTAGACTTGTTGCCAACTTCTTCTTGCATGAGATAAAAATTATTATATTTAATTTAGAAGTAATAATTCTCTCAGGAAACATCGAGTTTTTATATTCTTTTTTTAAACCTTTTAAGAATTCATTAAATTTGACAATCTCTTATTTTTACTAGCTTTTACATATGTTTGGACTTGATGGTAAGGTCAATTTGCCTCATCCATTGATTTGTTTCATTCCTTATGCTATCAATTTTTTCAATGTTTGTCTCAAATTATTCATTTAAGACTCGTTAATTGTTTCACCTCTACTCCCCTTTTTGATGGGTTTGTCTTATTATAGCGTTATCAAGATAGGAACTCCTAATTATCTCCTAGAGTCTCATGAAATTCTCCTTTTTTTTTATTCTAATAAAGCTTGTAGTCATCAAAAGTAAAATTTATCATGATATTACTTTTAAAAATGTTGAAAATAATAAATACTTAACGTGAAGCGGAAAGATAAATTTAATGTTTTAAAGAAAATAATTACATTTTTTTTATTGTTCATGAACAACATAGCGTAGCACAAGAATTTAATGCATATTAGATTTTAAGTCAAACTTACAGTTGAAGTTAGTACTTTCTTTCGGAGAAGAAAAATTTTAGGGTGTATGTCTGGTGAGAAAGACATGTTTACAAGAGGAGAACCACTGCTACTG